GAATCAAATATAACGCCTAGGAATTTGCCAGAAGAACGGTATTGGAGTGGGGGTTTGGGGACCGTACGTGAGCAAGAGAAAAGGATGGGGAAAGATTTAGAGGTAGAGAAGCGAAAGCCATGGTTGGTGGCCCAAGAAGTTACTGATGTTATTGCAGACTGAAGGAATTGACAGAGATCTGGTATGGATGTGCCAGATGCATAGATGGTTAAGTCATCAACATACAGTGATGCTCGGGCTCCTGGTGGTAGGACTGAGACTATGTCATTTACAGCAAGAAGGAATAAAGTGGTACTATGCACACTTCCTTGTGGGACGCTTTCGAATTGAGGAAAGGATGATGACGTGGAAGAGGCAATCTTGACCTGGAAAGTACGTTTAGAAAGGAAGGATTTAATGAAAACGCCCATGTTTCCACGTAAACCTAGGGAGGACAATTGTTGGAGGATATGGTATCGCCATGTGGTGTCATATGCTTTTTCTAGATCAAAGAATATGGCTAATATGGATTCATGGCGTGCAAATGCCGATGTAATGTATGTCTCGGAATGGGCAAGTGGGTCTGCTGTACTTCGGGCACGTCGGAAACCAAACTGGGAAGGGGAAAGGAGATTATGAGATTCAAGGTACCACATTAAACGGAAGTTTACCATTCGTTCTAGTAGTTTGCACAAGCAGCTAGTTAGAGCTATGGGGCGGTAATCTTGGGGTAGGGTACCTGATTTATTGGGTTTTAAGAAAGGTAGGATAAGAGCATCTCGCCAATGAGAAGGAAAATTTCCTGACGTCCATATGTGGTTGAAAATAGTTAAAAGGAATGATAGAGAGGAAGATGGGAGGTGTCGGAGCATACGATAGTGAATACCATCAGGGCCTTCATGAGTGTTGCGGCACGACTGTAATGCAGCGTTGAGTTCAGAAGAAGAAAAAGGAGCATTATAGGACTCATCAGAGGATAGGGTGAAGGTAATAGGGGTGTGTTCCTTGATGGCTTTAATGGAAGAAAAGTGTGGGGAAAGGTGAGAGCCACTACTGACCTAGCTGAAATGGTTGCCCAGTTCATTAGCTACTTCAACAGGCTCAGAGATGAGAATATCTCGAATATGGAGGACGGATGTAGGATGGGGGGGATATTTGCCTGATAATTTATGGATCCGTCGCCAAACAGCTGAAATGTAATTGAGGAAACAATTTTGCCAGCTATTAAATTTGCTGTTTTTAATTATACGGCGAAGATGGGCAGATGCTCTTTTAAATGAAATAAGGGCTGATAGCTGGTGAGGGGTGCCTCGTTTGTAGCGATAGCTGTTCCAGGCTGCTCGTTTTAAGCGAAGCGCTTTGGTGCAATCAGAATTCCACCATGGAACACATTTAGAGGTATAAGAAGTCGAGGAATGGTTGTATAGGCAGCTCTTAGGATCGTGGTAGTAAAACAATGTAGCATATCTGAAATGGACGGTAAGGGGGGTGGAGGGATAGGTATAGTAGAGAGTGAAGTGAAAGTATGCCAGTCAGCTCTATCAAAGCACCAGCGTGGAGGATTAGGAAGTGGTACATATGAAGTAGGAGAAAGGTGTTGGGAAAGTGGTTCTAGAACTAACCAATGAAATCTATCTAAATGTAAAGTAGGAGAGCATAGAGAGAGGTCAAGTCATGAAAAGGATTGTGTGCGCATGTTAAAGTGTGTGGGGCGATCTGAATTAAGAATAATTAGGTTATTTGTGAAGAGGAAGCGTTCTAGAGATCGGCCTCGGGAGTTGGTGATAGAGTCACCCCACAGAGTGTGGCGGCAGTTGAAATCACCAACTACGAGGAAAGGTGGTTGGAGTTGGGAAATTAGAGTCTCAAAGGCAGTAAAGTCAATGGGATGTGATGGGGAGAAGTAGACTGAAATTACTGTGATCCAGCGGCGAAGAAAGATGCGAATAGCTGTGCACGGGACAGAAGTTTGTATGGGAGGTATGACATAAGGTGTTTCATGATGGATAAGTATAGACGAGACATAAAGGGAGTGTGGGGAAGAGATAAAATGGTAATTGGGAATTGGAATAGGAGGGTGTGTGAGGAAAGTCTCTTGGAGGCAGATAATAGATGGATTATAAGAAGCAAGGATATGACGGAGGTCTGATCTATGAGAGCGGAAACCGCGAATATTCCAATGTAGGAGAGCTATATCCTAGTTGATTTACGAATGATAACGCAAGTACGTGTTGGGGAATTTGAAGGGGAAGGAGCTAGGGGGTGTAAAGGAGGGATATTAGGAGGTAGGGAATCTGGAGAAGGGCATTGTTGTGACATGAGTGATTCTCGTGTGTATCCGGGAGGGAGTGCAAAGGATAGAGGAGATGGAGGGAGGGAGAATGTGCCTATAGTTGGGGTTGAAGGGGGTGGGTTATGTTGGGAGGGAGTAGATGTGGGGGGAGTATTAGTGTTAGGAGGATGAATATCGGAAGATGGATAGTTGGAGTTGAAGGGGATGTGTTGTCTTGGGAGGGATTAGGAGGAAGGGGTGTAGGGGTGCTGTGAGTAAGAGGGGGATGCATATCAGGAGGATGGGTATTGGGAGGATGGATGGAGGTGGACGGGATTGAGGGGGTTAGGTTGTGTTGAGAGGAGTAGGAGGAAGGGGTGTAGGGGGAATATTAGTAGGAGGGGTATGAATATCGGCAACCACTTCAAGTGTGGAAGGAGCATGAGTTACGGGTTCTTGTGTCTCAAGCATATAGCTTTGAATGTCATCCATTGTTTCTGCAGTGGAGTTTGTTGGAGAGTTTTGTGAGAAGGTAATTGTTTTTGCAATGGAATTGGTTGGAGAGTTTTGTGGGATAAAGGTTTTCTTATGAGGGGGGGAAGAGGAGACTGGTGTCTCAGGAACAAAGGTATAGGTAGGTGGAGGTGATTGTGCTGTAGGGGAAGAAGGGTTAGAACGTTTAGTCTGTCTACTGCGGGTAGTGCGGGGAGGGAGAGGGGTTGGTGTTGGGGCTGTAGTTGAGATAGAGCTGTGGGTTGAGATTGGGGTGTCTGGGTTTAGAGTGGCAAAGGAATTGGTCTGAGGGATGTAGAATGTAGAAGTGGAAATGGGGACCTTTTGGGGTGGAGGGGGAGGGGCTGAGCGAACGATGTTACTTGAGTATGGAGTATGAGAGAAACCTTGTCGACGTGCTTCCTGTCTGGCTTCACGTAAAGTGAGACCATTTTAGTATCTGAGAGTTGCTACTAAACTTCAGATACATTATGAGTTAGCAGAGTAGGATCGATTATGACCAGGTTGGGCACATATGGGGCATCGGTAATGATGCGCCAAACATTTATGGTCTTAAATGCATTGTACAGAAGCAAGGTCGGAAGTAATAATTGGAGGCAGACAGTTGGACTGGGTTAGAGAGAAGTTCCAGTTATTAAGCGCAGGGGCTGATCTATAGATTCAGTTTGAGGGACTATTCTAGGTATAGTAAGCTGTTTCGTCTTCTTGAGTACTGTACTGCGGCTTACTTGATGAAAGTTGCGGGTAGAGTTGATGAATTTGAGGAAGTTGGGTAGGTAGGAATGTCTTCTTGAGACTGATTTTCTGCTTGGGTGGGTAATGCACTAGTAGGCATTGAGGAGTGGGTAGTAGTTTTAGTGTTCGGAGCCGTGGTCAAAGGAGAGCCTGGGTTGGGGCTATTTGATAAAGGGGCTAGCCTCATTGCCTCTAATAATGGGATTACATTTTCATTACTGGTCATGGGGAACCTGGATTATATAAAACGGCATAAACAGTCCACCCTCATGCTCTTGACGGTAAGGGCTAGATTAGTCGGGAGTACCGTGCCCATAGTTCCTGCAGGCCATTCAGGACTAGCACAAGGTCAGCCTTTCATCCTCTCAGCACGGCTCTCACACCTTAGGAAGTACATAGTAGAAGGGTTTGGAGAAGGGATGGAAACAGGAAGCTGGAGGGGGAAAAGACCATGCAAAATTAGTTGAGTCGAGGGCTGAGGCCCTAGGCAGGGGAGATCCCTGCATTGGGTCTCAGTCTCCGTCCCCTAAGCCCCCCCCCACGACAACAACGGGCAAGGGATTGGGGGGGTACAATTTTAGGGCCACGTCAACTCTATGGAAATTATGCATAAAATTTTAGACGGATTGAAACTCATCTGTCAGATTTGCTAATCTGAGGCAATACTTGAAGTTGCATTATCATTTATACGTTTTATCTGAGTGATTGTTTAATAAAAGGTATCTTATGATTGAGAGTTGTTTTATTAAGAAGCATTTTGTTCTTAGCAGAAATGTTACATAGTTGGCAGTAGTTCACAGTCTATGACATGATAACAAAATTTTCCATCTGCTTAGACATAAGAGAAATTAGCATTTTGTTAGTTTTAAACAAAGGAATAGAGTTTTGTTAATTGTTATATCATATGCTCCATCTGTGCAGCTGCCAATATTTTGTTTTGTCTTTCCCTTTTTTTGTATGTCTTGTTCAGAAAAAATAAGTTTCAACAAAGTCACATATTGCAGTTTATTTTGGGATTAATAAACCTTTTTTGCTAGTAAAGAACGTAGATAAAATACTTGACATCATGATTTCCTAGATATATGTATATAGACAGTTACTTGATAATATAAATTATTGAATTTTAGAGCTAATACCTCATCTAAGTTTGTGGGGGAATAAAAAATTCTAGGGAAAAAGTTTCAATTTTGGATTTAACTGGGCTATATGGAAGTGGTTCTACCTATCAACTGAGTAATGGTATGCGTAAGGCAGGGAACTAAGGAAATGTAATCTTGGAAATGCAAAATAACACACTAAACTCAGATGAATGGAAATATAGACAATAAAGGTGTGTGTGTGTGTGTGCGTGTGTCTGTGCATGTGCGTGTGTCTGTGCGTGTGTGTGTGTGTGTCTGTGCGTGTGTGTGTGTGTGTGTGTGTGTGTGTCTGTGCGTGTGTGTGTGACTGTGCGTGTGTTTGTGTTTGTGTCTGTGTGTGTGTCTGTGTGTTTCTGTGCGTGTTTGTGCTGTGTGTGTCTGTGCATGTGCGTGTGTGTGTCGGTGTGTGCATGCATGCATGTGTGTGCGTAAGTGTGCTCGTCTCACTCAAAATAAACGTGTAGGGCATTGGTAAGCGTGTGTATACTCTTGTATATGTGCATGCAATTGTGGGTGCGTGAGGATGCATGCATGCATGCGTGCGTAGGTGTGCTCGTCTCACTCAAAATAAACGTGTAGGGCATTGGTAAGCATGTGCATACAATTGTATATGTGCATGCAATTGTGCGTGCGTGAGGGTGCATGCATGTGTATGTCTGTGTGTGTTTTTGCATGTGTTTACATGTGTTACCATGTATTTTTAATTCTGGTTGTTTCAACAATTGTTGGTTTATGTAAAACGTTAATTCTGCATAAATATACATCATTAGATTATTCCTCTTTCATAGTGCTGCAGAAACTTTAAGAAATGAGTATGACCAAGCTTTATTGCAATTTCTCTTGCTGTGTGGCCAAGACTGTTACATTCATTTACTGGAACATCTAGTAGTAGGAGATAATGGCCAAAGCAAACATCACCCTGAAAAATCAAATAGTAAATGTGAAGCTTAAAAATCATAAACATCTAAACTAGATTTTGGTTCAGTTTGCTAGGTCAATTACTTACAGTAAAAATAGAGCCATATACAAGACATCTCCAGATCAAAGTTTTGAGAATATTACCAGTTTTGCAGCTATGGTTAGAGCATTGTCTCCCCATTCATCTTTCTTTAATAGGTCTGGGACATGAGTAGACAGCAGAAGGGCAAGGTCTCGTTGTCCACGCCGGGAGGCTTTGAGGAATAGAGATGTAAAATCTACATCTGGGATTCTTTCACTTCGCATTGAAGCAAACACTGTGTCATAGTCTCCTGTAATGTTTTGGAAATAATTTGCATGCATTAAGTATGGTAATCAAGCTATAATAATCAGCTATTTAAAGAAATAATAGTACCAAATACATTGCAAACAAGTAATAAATAACAATACAAAAAAAGCTACAAAAGCAATAAAAATACCTTTATCTGCAGCATCAGAAAATTCGTCCTTTGTTAAAATCAAGGTGTGCTTCATCTGTTCTTCCAGGTCTTTCTTTGCAAGTTCTGGATCATAGAGAATCAAGCCAGCAAGAATGCTGTTTCCTTCAAAGGGATCTTCTACATCACTATCAGGTTCAATCTTCACGGTGATGTTCTTATATACATCAGGCTGAAAGGACCTCATTATTATGATTTTCCCCAAATCCCAACAACTGTAAAAATCTCTATGTAGGACATAACCATTTCCTGATTCAATTCAAAACTGTCAGTTAATATCTATACTATTAAAAATAGAGGTAAACAATCACTCAAAATAATAAAGAGGTAGAGAGTAACAAGTGAACTTGAAATAGGAGAAGAGTTACTCTAAAATTTAAAAAAAGAGACTGTAGATTAATAAAATGATAAATGACAAAGTCTATCTACAACTCATTGTCTGGGGAATACAAGCTCAGTTCATTATCTTTCTAAATCATATATATTAATTGTTTAAAAAATAATAAAATGAGAGAGCAAATAAGTTTTATTTTAGGATACATTTACTGTAATATAAGAAAAATGGGTAGGCCAGCATGTGCAAATTAACCCACATATACTGGGTTGGTAAGAATACTTCCCATATCTTTGTCTCCTTGTTTATCATTTGCCTTCACACGTGGAAGCATTTAATCAACAAGGAGTCAATTAGCAGTCTTACCTATCTCATCTGTTTACCATTTTTGTTGATTTTCAGATATTCTTTTTATTTCTTATTTCTATTAATATTTTTTATATCATAATAAGAAGAAAGTCAATTATAATAACATCAATATCAATAGCATAAAAAAATAATAAAACGGAAGGAAAGAAAAACACAGGTGTAGTCCCATAGGCCTAATAATTGGCTCTTTGGTGGCTGAGCACTTATGGAGCCACAAAAAGGAACTACAGTTAACAGTACAAGTAACCATCAGCAATGGGTTAAAAGTTTGCTTTTAAGGGGGAAGTGAGTCCAGACGGCAATAAGATGAAAAGCTGTAACTCTGAGGGGACTTCTAATTATCAAAGATTCGTAAATGTAAAAGTACATATTCTAAGGTACTTACTTGCTTACTTGAAGAGGCTTTCTGGGAATCTATTCCCGATATCAGACTACCAAAAGTCTTTGTTCTATGATCTTTACCTCTGAAGAGAATGAAATTAAGAAATTAGTTATCCAAAATGTAACATACATGACTGAGGACCAAGACATTCCTAATGAACAAATACAAATAAAAGAATAAAAATAATTTCTTTACTCAGTATTTTATATATACATATACATACATATATACAAGTGTGCACGCCCGCATGCACGCACACGCGCGCACGCACGCACACACGCACACACACACACACACACACACACACACACACACACACACACACACACACACACACACACACACACACACACACACACACACACACACACACACACACACACAGACTGAAGGAGATACTAATAAGGCGTACAAATACGGTACGAATATGGATCTAGGCGAAACCTTTGAGGACGTGTGGACGTCGATGACGGATGGATGCACCAAGGACCAAGATGAAAAGGCCGAGAACGAGATGCGCGAGGACAACCGAGAACAGGAACACGGCGAGGACCGATCAGGCAAAAACGAGGACGTACGCCGTGAACCCTCGTCGTCAGCCGATCCATATCTCAGCAGGGGAAGCAGTAGGAACATCAGGTCAACTTTGAGGTGCTATTTTCAGCGCCCCGAGGATGAGGCGGGGGTAGGTGGCAGAGCGATGAAGGAGTTACTAATAAAGCGTACCGTATTTGTACCCCTGTTGTTGGTACCGGCAGCCTGTTCTAAATATACTCTACTCTGTCCGGCTCAGGTCGCCTTCTAGGTCGCCAGGGGTCAGAAGACAGAACTGACCTAGGAGCGACCTACCATAACTCACACACACACTCCCTGACAGTCGCCCACCCAAGCAGGGCATGGGGCTTTCCCACTCACACCTTCAGCGACCACTCCCTCCGTGCGGGAGTTCCACCCAGCGCTATTCTTTGTGTATCGTTATTCTTGTGTATGTGATGTAACTCTTAGCAATAAAGAGAACAGCCATAAAGTGAATCCCTGACGACACCTGTAATTCAAACTACACTATAAAACAAGAGGTGTTAGACACTCTTATATTCTGGTGGCAGCGGTGGGATTCCTTTAACCTTTCGGCTTGAAGCATGAACTAAGAATTCTGAAGAACTAGGACCGGTCGCCTATAAAAACATCGCGATATGAAGAACAAGGATCCAAAACCACCTGAGTACATGTGTGGTTCAAATTCTTTTCTTGTTCCTTTCTTCTTCTCCCATACACGTGTTAAGCAAACCATTCCACGATGGTTTTGCTGGTGGAAAGTGCTAATAGTGAAAACTTAACAGCATAATGGCAACACTCACAGTCTGTCAATCAACGGGACCGGAAGACACTTCCTCAGGATGTGTCAGGTCTGGATGCAAACACATGAAATATCGTTCTTTAAATAATTAATTTTCTCGCATTTACAGATTTATTTATATTGTTTGAATGACAACAAAATTCAACTCAAGTTCATGATTTTCTCTCAAGCTGAGAATTTTCTTTTTGTAATTCGCGATCATTCACGAATTCTGTGTATTCCTTCTCTTCTTGTACAAATTTAGTTAATTGATTGAATTTCACTCATTGTTGGACTCTTTAGTTCATTTTATTCTCTGACTGATTTCGTTATTTCGCACTCACGAACATATAATTTATTTCTCTGTAGTAAACAGCCCCCCCCCCCCCCCTCGACCTCACTTTCTCTTCCGTCTTGGGCTTGGAGGGATCCTGTAATTAGGCCTTCAACGCTATTCAGTGACAATTCTTCGGTGCAAAGAATAATAGCCTGATCGCAAATATTTCTAAATTCATTTTAATGAATAAAGCGTAACAATCTTCCCCTTTCATCGTGCAATAAGTATAATGAAAGTGAAGCATAACTCATTCGTTCGGCATATTGAGTCGGTGTGACCTGTATTAATGTCTGATTAGGAAAGGACTAGGGTTTAAAGCTTGAAATGATTCGCTTAGTAAACACATCCGTCTCGCCTCATTACCGGTGGCATGTCCGGAAAATTCCGACAATCGTGTGATTCGTAGTTATCTGCGTGCGCCATTCACAGATTGTAGAGTAAGACTAACGATGAAATTCGAGTCTCATATAGTCACTTCATTCGTTCAGATAATTTGGGCATAAGGGACCCTCTGTCAATGAAAACTAGCTCTAACTTGTTTAAGTACGATGAAATAATTGGGGTTAACGCATAAAAAAACATTTCTGAACTGGGATGCTTGCATTGCGAAAGCTTGCAAAAGAAATTTCATGTGACCATTCATTTACGTACGTTAAGTCGCATATTATTTAATGTTGAATTCTTGGAGTAAGTGAAATAATTGTTATATTGACATTGTAATGATTATAACATTCGCTAAAATGAACGTTAAACTCATGTTTGTGATCAATCTTCGTGTGAGCTCGCTTTTTCTTCACACTCATTCACGCAAACAGACACTGTAAGTCAAAATCTTCAATTATAGGATTTGTTGTACATAATTTCAGGATATCTCTTTTACCCGCAATATTGCTGTGATGAGTAAATATACACGCAATCATTTCTCACACTCTTCCACACAGTTCAACAGACACTGTTAAATCAAATCTTCATCTATAGGATTTGTTGTGTCGTAGTCTAAGGCTATTCTTTGCCTTGTGACGTTGCTGATCGTGATTAGTGGAAATGATGCACAATACATATTTTTCTTCTCTATGAAATGACAATCGGTTCAAGTTATCCTTGCGGATGCCGATGTCATTTCCCTTATCTATTCTCATATCTATCTGAGATGGTTAGTAGCTCAAGCAAGTTTGTGAGAACTGCTACTCTCCTCTCCCTCATTTATTTTTCTTCCTGAAAAATACAAAGTGAAAAAAAACGAAAATAAATGAAATAACCACATCAAAAACGGCAAATTAGCATAAAAATAATGGCTAACAGCACTTAAATAACATCCCTCCCTCTCTGTTGTTTTTTTCTTTTTCTCTTACTATCTTGGCCCTTACATGTATGAACTGGTTCATGTATATAATGGATGTGTATATCCGACACGGCACCAAAGGGTATCTAACTAAGCACGATCACCTTGCAATGCCGTGAGACAAACATCGCCAAAAGATCGCCGCAGGCCGAAGGACAAGGACTCGGGAAATTGCAGGTATTAAGCCGCCCAGATCAAGTGGACGGGTGCCGCCTGTCAGTATTCCCGTAGATCCAGTGAAGAACCAGGAACTCGTCAGAGCAGGCCCGTGATGCTATGAAAAGCCGCCTGCCTGGACGCCCGTAGATCGGTTAAACTCCAGGAGCTCCCCAGCGCAGGAGTAAGCCGCCCTCAGATGAAAGGACGCCCCTACCCAGGACGCCGTAGACCCAGACACGCAGGCTACGAGGATTTGGTACGAGCCGCAGCCGAGAAGGACCTGGACGAATCTGCGAGGACGTGTGGACGACGATGCCGCTGAGTACCACCTGGATGAGGACTAAGAGGACGACTGGACGGACCGAAGTCAAGGAGGACCTAGGCAAAACCTTCGAGGACGTGTGGACGTCGATGACGGATGGATGCACCAAAGACGAAGATGAAAAGGCCGACAAGGAGATGCGCGAGGACAACCGAGAACAGGAACGCGACGAGGACCGATCAGGAGAAAACGAGGACGTACTTCGTGAACCCTCGTCGTCAGCCGATCCATGTCGCAGCAGGGGAAGCAGTAGGAACATCAGGTCAACTTCGAGAAGGAGCTATTTTCAGCGCCTCGAGGACGAGGCGGGGATAGGTGGCAGAGCGATGACGGAGTTACTAATAAGGCGTACCGTATTCGTATGCCTGTTGTTGGTACCAGATGTTTGTACCGGCAGCCTGTTCTAAATATACTCCACTCTGTCCGGCTCGGGTCGCCTTCTAGGTCGCCTAGGAGCGACCTACCATAACTCACACACACACTCCCTGACGGTTGCCCGCCCTAGCAGGGCGTGGGGCCTTCCCACTCACACCTTCAGCGACCTTCCCTGTTCGCTCCTGACCTGAGTTGCCCACTTCCGCTCTCTCCGGGCGGGAGTTCCACCCAGCGCCGTTCTTCGTGTATCGTTATTCTTGTGTATGTATTGTAACTCGTAGCAATAAAGAGAACAGCCATAAAGTGTATCCCTGACGCCACCTGTAATTCAAACACTATAAAACAAGAGGTGTTAGACACTCTTATACAGACAGACAGACATTGAAAGACAATCATAGAATTTGAATTTACAGAATACTAACGTCTCCTTTTTTCTTGCCCTTTTGCTTTCCTTTTCCTGATTTTCACATTTGTTCATCTGAAATGAAATCCAGTATGTAAAATCCAGCATGTAAGAGCAGAATCATCATATAATCTACACAAAGCAAACACAGAAATAATGCTATTATACACTATAGGGCACTTTACCTTTTGACTTGATCTTCGACCTTTAACAATAGAATAAAGGTCTTTCCCTGCAGTAAGCACGGTACCTGTTTCAATTGCTTTGTAGAACTCTCTTTCATTGATGCGCCTGAAAGAGGGGGAGAGGGGAGAGGGGGAGAGGGGGAGAGGGGAGAGGGGAGAAGAGGGAGAGAGAGGGAGAGAGGGGAGAGAGAGAGAGAGAGAGAGAGAGAGAGAGAGAGAGAGAG